AAAACATACAGTTAGAAACAGTATCTTAAGAAAAAACCATAAAGAAAGTGTATGCTTCTGACTTTCAAGTAACTAATGAACGAAATGAAGGACAGAGAAGTGAAATGACTTGGCCAAAGCCACACAGCTTATACGTGGAGGATCTACGGAAGACCTACACCCAGGGTGAGGTGGGGGTGGTGGTCTAGAATCTAAGAACAGTGGCAGCTGCTTGCTTTCTGCAGAAGGAGGGAAAACTATCTGAAGACCCCAAGTGAGCCTGCAGGTTCCAGGTGTGTATACCCTTAGTAGACATAGGTCTGGTCCTGCCCATCCATCCCCCAAGACTCAGAGAATACTATAGACCAGGAAGGAATGAAAGAGAGGGAGGCAAAGGTTAATGGCAGCAAGATGGTGCCCCTAGCAGGATGTACTGAACAATGGAGTTCTCATTACACTACTTCACACTGCTGTGAGAACAGTAAAACCATTAACAACATTAGCCCTGCTGGGAGGAGAGGCAGGTGCTGACAATCTTCCCTCTGGACAGAACATTTGGGGTGTGGAGAGAGAGTGGAGGGCAGGGCTCAGCCTCTGCTTCGGTGGAAGGAAGTTGGCACAGGGGAGGGGCAAGGTGGTTCTGATTCCACATGTGACACCCATAGTAGAAGCTACCCTCAAACACTGCATCTCGGGAACAATCCTGACAGCAGGGGCACCAAGGCACATGGATATCTTGTGGATACTGTGGCAGTCACAAGCCAGAAGTGATGTCCATTGGTGCCCCCACCCTCACTAGGTTCCTCTTCCTATTTTCTAATTTTCCATATTAAGTCAGCTCTCAGTTTCCAGGCCAAACCCACCCCTTGACGGTACTGGCTCCCTCCGCTTTCCGCCCAAACTTCCTTGTCTAGCCGGTGTTCTATCAGACAGGGTGGCGTGCTGGTGGGTGGCCAGGTTTGGGAATGGAAAAGACATGGGTTTCTAATTATTTTTAGTGGCTGTGACCTTGAGCTAGTGCTCAACTTGTCTGAACCCTGAGCCTCAAATGTGCAGCATGAGGATGATAAGCAAGCCTGTAAGTTCTTTGGACAAAGGGTCAAATGTATGACACACCAAACACAGAGCAGGTACCCAGTACACCATTCCTTTTAAGTGGAAACTTCACCATCCAGAAGGTAAAGACTTACAATAGGGGAATCAGCAGCAGAAAAGTGAGAAAAAAAAAAAAAGGTGGTTGTGAGGGGCTCAGGGGTGGGGGTAAGGGTCAGAGGGTGGGATGCAAAGCCATCAAGGTGCTCCTGGGATGGGTGGAAGTGGATGGGGTGGGGAGGGGATAATGAGATCTTTGCCACTGTTCTCTCCCCTTTGTGCTCTTGTGGGAGGGTGTCTTGTTGTTATTGGTTTTTCTACAGAGTCTCTGTGTTATTTAATTACAAAAGAATAAATAAGAAAAGGTGAAAGGCAGTAAATGGGTGATTCTGTGACAAAGAGATATGACACAGTTCTCAGTGCCTTGAGCATACCCTAGAAGGGAACTTGGAAACTGACAGGTCTGTCTGTACATACTGGTCGACTCAGGCCCACAGTGCAGCCTGCATCCCTCTCTGGGATGTGACCTTCTCCTGGAAGGCGCTCAGCCATTCCCTGAGAGCTCAAGGCTCACCACATCTTGGTACCCTGCCTTCTCTAAGAAGGTGACTTTAGCAGCCTGGTGAGGTGGTGCACTCCTGTGATCCCAGCACTCTGGGAGGTAGAGGCAGGCAGATCTCTGTTTGAGGCCAGCCTGGTCTACAAAGTGATTCCAGGACAGAAGAAAGAAGGAGGAGGAAGAGGAAGAGATGAATTATTTATCTGTACAAGTGAGGCTTTGGTTCTGTGCTTCTAGAAGACAGTTCATGAGAAGCTTTTGAGCCCAGGCTGGCCTTGAACTTGAGATCTTTCTGCCTCTACCTTCCAAGTGCCAAAGATTACAGGCATGGTCCACCATACCTGGTAGGAGATAAAACCTTTTATAATAATATACCCCATATTTTCAGCTTATTGTAGTCACTTTGATGACAACTCCTGGAATCATGGTCTTTGAGGAGGTCCCTATAGAGAGTATCATTTAACTCTGTACTATCTTATGTATTGAGGAAACAAAAAGAAGTTTGCTGCACTCAATCAGACCTTAAGAAGAATCTCACTCCTTTGTGTGACTATTATATTGAAGTTTTCTTTTCTTTTCTTTTGTGTGTGTGTACACAAGCGTGTACGCACAGGGGTGGGAGAGGATTGCCAGGTGCCAGCCCCTGGTATCAGGTTTCCATATTTCTTAATATCTTATATGGAGAAGGACTAAGGTCTCAGCATATTAACTTGAATCAAACACAGTGACTGACCAACTGCAAGAAAATCCCACCTCCTCTTCACTGTCTGATCAGAACCGGGTGAGGGTGAGCATGCACACCACCTCCCTCTTGTCTCCTGGACGTGAAAGGCTGGAAAACCCCAAAAGGAATGATTGGGCTGTTGCTCCTCCCAAATGTGTGATCACGCTGACATTATCTATCCTGCCCCCCCCCCCACCCCCAGTTACTGGAGACTGTTTTGCTTTCCTCATAGCTCACATTAGCAGCTCACAAACATTACAGGTGCCAGCTGTTGGCACTCTGTAGTCAGAGTGATGAATGAAACTTTGTCTAGAACCCAGGCCAAGTAGGCTTTGGACGACAAGACATCAGCTTGTGCTAAGGGATCTCCTCTGCCTTTACTGTGTGAGGAAGAGGCTACTAATGCAAGGATACTTTTTTCAGTTTCAACTCAAGCAGAAGCAGGGAAGACTTCTGGCCCTTGGCCCCTTCCTTGCTGCTGTAGATAAACAATCTACAACAGCGTGATTGCTCCTTTTCCCTTATGCCAGCCATAAAGCAGGTAACAATGTTGCCACTTGCTGCTGCAGAGACCAAGGTCTTGAAACTCCTTGCTGGTTACCTGGGTTGACAGGTAACCCAAGGAAAGATGGATTTTGCTATTGCTTCACCTGCCCTTTGACCCCCGACCCCAGACAGGGGAAGCTGGCTATTCTGAGTCTCCCCACTCCCAGCCCCAGGGGCAGCCAGATTCCCTGAGTACTTGGGGACAACGACTCCTGCATCTTACTGTGGGAGCAGTGTGAACCTGACCAGGATGATCAGTCCATGAGCTTTGGTTTGCTAGATACCTGCCCACGTGTGAATGAGAATTTCCCCTTTTCCCTCAGCCGTGGCACTCCTCACGTTCTGCTCTAGCACACAGCCTCCATAAGCAGCTGGCACAGGCTTTGTTCCCCCTTGACCATAGATAGGGCCTTTGCATATAGTTCCTCCTATGGTCTGGAAATTTTCTTTCTTTCCTATCTAATGTCAACTGAGGCAAACTTTCCTGCAGCAAGCCTTCCCTGACTCTGCCACAGACCCTCCAATGGACACCGAGTGCCCATTTACGGTATATCCTGGAGGACAAGCCTCACAACGGCACCACTGTGCCTGATTGTCACTTCCTCAATGCCTACAGCTATCTGGTAGGCACAGTGTCTGTCTCCCACTGGTGAGGTCCCCTAGGAAGGCTGCTGTTTGCTCAGCCCTAGAGCTGGCTCACAGAAAGTGCTGCATCTTTGTTAATTTCCCTCACCACCACCACCCTCCTCTACCAATGCAAGGGAAACTACAGAAAACAATTCTAAACCAAATAAAATCTGACAGGATTCACGGAACTGAGGTCACATCTGCATACCACACTGACCACACTGGCTCCAGCGGTGACCCAGATCCAGCTGCCTGTCCGAGGAGAGAAAGGGCCATGTGGCACTGCTCTCAGCTGTCTGTGTGGTTTTATGCCCAGCTCTTCATATCTGAGAAGTGACAGTGTGGGTGGTTATAGGAAAACTAAGGCCATGATTCCTCCTCCTCAGTAGTCATCAGAGATCTGCACAGAGAGGCTGAGATCTCCTAAGATTTAGCAACAGTGACCCCTGAAACTGCCCCCCCCCCCCACGCACACTGCCTTTGACTGCAACCATCCTAGGACAGGTACTGCTGGGGGCGGGGGGACACTGATACAAAACATTGGCCTTCCACAGCAAAGCTGGCTTCCTTCCTTTAGCCTCTGGAAACAGGGGATGGGGTCAGGGGCAGCTCTGCAGGTCAAGCCAAATAGCCGGAATGCTCAAAGTGGGTAGCCCAGGCCCAGCTGCTGCATAGACTTCCCTGCACGAGGCTCCTCACTTCCAAAATCCCCACCCCACCCCCACCCCCACATGTTCACATTGTCAAGGAGGCTTTCCAGTGCAAGACAGCATGCACCCAGAGTTCTGACCTGGATTCTGCTTGGAAACAAGCACCCCTTCCCTTGGTTAAGCCTTGGGGACTTGATATCAGCAGAGGTGGGGGAACTTGAGATGAGGCGAGGAAGGAGTGCCCTGATTTTGTAGCAGCAGAGGGAAAGGACAGTGCTCACCCAGATTTCCTTTGAAAGACAAACTATTTGCTTTGTAAGAGGTTAGCAAGTGTACTGTGTGGGGAGACAAGTGAGGAGGTGTGTTTCAGAGTTGGTCTGCATGGTTCCTGACAGCCCTTGGCAAATTTCATCTGGGAGTCTTGGACAACCACGGAGCCCCAAAGCCTTATCTAGCCTGGGCTACCCTCTAAGGCCCATCTTCCTGGCCTCTCTAGGAGACAACAATGACAGAGGCCACCGGCAAGCAACCAGCAATGCAACAGACAGAGGGGAGGGCCTGAGAGTCAAGGTCCGTGATTCTAGAGCACCCCTCCCTTGCAGGTCCCTGGGAAAAACCAGGCAGAGCTGAGTTTCCAGGTTTAAGAAGATATTCCAAGAAAGGGCATGCTCCCACCCTCTCTGCTGATTGTGGGGCCAGATGACCACACAAGAATCTTTTTGATTTGCCCCTGTTTCTAAAGGCTGCTGTGGACCCCCAGTATTGGAAAGACTCAGCCACAGGCAGGCAAGGTCAGCCTCCTGGTCTCCGGGGAAGGGAGCAGCTACCTTACCTGCTCCTGAGAGTTCATCACTCGCAGCTTCATCTGTTTCAAGTAGGTGGAGGTGAGGGGCATGTTGTAGTCAATAATGCCAGATACCAGAGGGGATGGAGGCTCATTCTCTGCAGAAGAAAGAAAAGGAAACCTCTTTCAGTCTGTGCCAGGGGTGGGAGTGGAAGGGGAAGGTTGTCAACTCTCCATCTATGTGGTGTGTAGCAGAGTGATGAAAATGCTTGCCAGGGGGGCTGGAGAGACGGCTCAGAGGCTAAGAGCACTAACTCCTCTTCCAGAGTACCCGGGGTTCAATTCCCAGTATCTACATGGCAGCTCACAACTGTCTATAACTCCAAGATCTGACACCTCACATAGACGTACTTACAGGCAAAGCACCAATACACATAAAATAAAAATAAATTAAAAAAAAGAACTGACCAAACAAAAACAAAACAGAACAACAATTAAGTGCCAGTTTTTAAAACTCTAAGACTTGGCTACTTCAAAAGAAATGGACTTGTCTGGTCACATGGGGTCCCTGTGGCAACCATGTGGCCTGCGACAACCACTTCTCCCAGGCAGGACAAGTGTGTTTTGCCAGGGCACAGCTTTGCTCACTTGGGCCCCCTGCCAGGACCCTGAAGGCATTAAGTTTCCACTCTGGCCAAAGTCAGCTCTTCCTGGTAAACACCTGCCTCTGCCTGTCCCACTCCAGCCTCAGCCCCACAGTGTTCCCTTCAACCCCACCCCGAAGCACCCTCTAGGACCAGATGGCTCACAGATCTGAGCCAGGCACCCAGCGTCCTCCACCCTCCCAAATCCTGGTGCTTCCATAATCACATGCAGAGGAGGATTTTTCCTCCTGCTTATTGCTCTGTTGTTCTGAGGATCAAAGCTACGTGTGTTCTTTTTGTAGAAAATCTGCAATGTGTGGAAAGATGTGAAGAAGAAAATTTAAAAGCGTAATTGCACCAAGCAGCCTTGGCATATGCTTCTGTTTATTTTTCCCTGTAGTTTTCTTTTCATACTAGATATCATAATGTGCACAGAGAATTATAGTTTGCTTTCCTCTAAAAAAAAAATGGTGTTTAATTAAGTTATTTATTTTGAGACAGGGTCTTACTTTGCATACAGCCCAGGCTGGCATTGAACTCATCAGCTTCCTGCCTCAGCCTCCTGAGCACTAAAGTTTATTTTTTTTTCCCCTAAACATTTTGCCATGATTTACCTAAGTCATACTCTTAGGATGGTTAGGTATGGGCTAGTGTAGCCAACATTGCATGGAACATCTCTGGGAATGGGTACCAGTCTGTTTTCTGATCTTTTCTACCAAAGAATTATTCTAAGAGATGAAATGTATGGGTCAAAAAGTACAGACAACTCTTGACCGCTGTTCAAGGTGCCCAGGACGTCATCTTAGCCACCTATTCGCCAGGCTTCTCGTGTCCACACAGGTCTCAGGCCAGGCTGATTTCACCTTTTACACTTTCTAGCACAGGGTCTCCATTTCATCAAAGGGTTAGGATCTGAGCCAAGAAATGTGGCAGCAGCTACCCACTATGCACAGCCTGCCCACCTGTGCCACCACCACAGCCAGGAGACAAGCTGTAGGGGAGGCAGGTGACAGGGCCAAAGTGCAGAGGTGATTTGCTCCACTTACCCCTCCAGAGCCAGCACCCAAACCGAAGAGGCCTCTGCACCCGACAAACACTATGCCAAGTGAAGAGACCATAGGAGGACAAACACTGTGTGAAATGTCTAGGAAGTGTGAACACGATGAGTCTAAAATGGCTCAATAAAACATTACTAAAACAGTTCATTTTTTAAGTATTTGACCAGAAAGAGAAAATTCCTCTGATGGGGACAAAGTTACCCCAGGAAGGAGCCCTCCTGTATGGCTAGGAAAGAAGCAGCCTGGAAGAGACAAGCCCCAGACCAGAATGGGCCCAAGACTTCTGTATACCCTTTTTTGTAGTGACATGTTTTAATGAATTTGGATAACTGATAGGAACATATATTTCAAGGGCACCAAACCCTAAAACAGGTGAGAGGGAAGAAGTTTACTGTTTTCCCTCTAAAGCTCTCAAGTCTTACTTGCATACTAATAAATTATATCTAAAAATGTTTGCAGGCCACCTATGGGTATGATACAAGTCTATACTGATGATTCTGACTCAAAATGGTAGCCATCAAATCCATGCCAGCCCACTACAAAAAGAATGCAGCATTATTAGTGCCAATCAGTCACTTGTCTGTGTTGCCCCTGCCCTGCCTTCACACTCCCCCAAGTCTTACCTCCAGGCTAAGCTCAGACACCTAACCCTGACTACACTGACCATGTGCAAACACTGCAGATGTTGGGGAAGGCTGGTCTTTATACCCCACCTCTTCTGAGTGGGTCAGGGAATCCTGTGCATGTGGGCCTAGCTGGCTCTTGTTCCTCCTTCTCCTCGTTTGACCACCATCAACCTTGCCTTGGCTTCCTCAGCCCCAGGGAGCTTCGGGGCCTCTCTCTACCAAGACTTACTGGGTTGGAAGCAGCACATTAGGTAAGTGATTTCAGGGACACTGAGATGGGGGTCATAGACTGGAGCCATGTTTCTGTCTCTAAACCATGGTGTTTCTGGCTGAGAAGTGTGAATTCACTTTAACCTCCTCCAAATGAGCTTGCCTAGTGTGAAGCTGCTAAACAACATGGAGGCTGTGAGGGGCCACACACCGTCCAATGGCCCTAGTCATACAGGGGCTCTCTGCACTTGGCTGTCCACACAGGCAAGATGTCCTGGTGTAGCTTACATCATACCTGACTGCCAGAGCTGCTTATCAAAAAGCACTAACAAAGCGGGTGACAGTGTGGCTTAGGGGGAAAACCCCAAAAAGACAGTGACCAGGATGGTGATCTGGGGGCAGAAGGATGGGTCTTCCTGGTGTGTGCTCCCCAGCATCTTTACAAGGCAAAAGATGCTTTGGGGGCCCAAAAGAGTCCAGGAGTGCTCTGGACGAGGTGGGCAAGACGCCTATGGCAGGGAAGCAGGCAAACAGAGCTGTCAGGGAGCACCTGCACTGGTGGACCACGCAGCACCTGGCCTGTCAGTTCCAGGAGTAAGCATCCTGTTGGGGTAGCAGTGCCACAGGGGGCAGGGGATGTTTCTAGTGAGGAAGGGAGCCATGGGCTAGCATGGGAGGTCAGTGCTGGATCACGACACTGAGGAGAATGGCAGAAGGGCTGTGGGAGCCCCCATGAGTTCGGAATATGGTGAGTGGAGAAACAGCAGAAGCAAAGCCAATGGCAGCCCAGGGGGATGCTCACGGGTGGGAAGGATCCAGGCCAGGCAAGGTAAGGCAAAGCGTAAGCAGGAAGAGGGGGAACCGCTGGCTGCCTGGACCGGGTGATCCTCTGTGCCAACACATGTGGTGATTTTGTCCAGGCCTCTGCAAACAGCCTGCTGCTACATCATTGGACACTGTTAGCTGGAGAGAGGAAAGTTAAGAGTCATCATCAACACGGAGGCTAAGCGATCCCCGAGGCTGCTAGGAAGAAAGGCCGAGGAAGTGCCACCAAGCAATGTTTCCACACCCCCCTGCCAAGGGAAATGTACCAAGTGCTAAGCCTGATTCTCTTGGGCTTTGAAAAGGATCACCAACTTCAGCTCTGCCCAGGATAGGACAGGCCAAGACAAGCTCAATGTCTATGGTGGATACCAACAATACCTATCAATCAACAGATTCCAAAAGGGAATGGTCTTCAAATTCTCCAGGTACCCATTCTTACAACCTTTTGCTTAAAGAACCCCTTAGTCCAGAGATAACAGAAGTTTCCAGATAGTGTTGGCTAGGGGTAGGAGAGCTCAGTTGGGCACTGGAGGGCATGTGCCATGTGGGGCAGAGAAGCCATGAGACCAGGCAGCCTTGTGGAGTTCAGAGCTGGAAACAGAACAGGGACCCCAAGCATAGGTTGGAGTCAGTGGGCAAGTTCCAAGGGCCCTGCCACAGAGTGAGTGAATTTTCCGTGTCTGCATCACTCATCACTCATATTTACTGCTCAGCATGAAGGGGAAGAAGAGGTGGAGAAACGAAGAGGGAAGAACAGGGTGGGATAGGGTGTATGAGAGTCCATTAGAGCCAAGAAGGCCCTGGAGTGGTTCAAGAAAGCTTTCGAAGAGTATAAAAAACTTGGAGTGGATTTCTCAGCCAAGAAAACTGAGCGCTACTTAAGGGCTCCACACAGACCCCAAAGCCCCAGGAAATGGGTGCTGGCAGCAAGGCCCCTTCTGTGCAGACAGGACAACACCACACAGAAAGGCTGTGCAGCTCCCACAGCCACACAGTGAATGAGAATGGGGAGAGGAAAGGCCAGCCAACAAGGCATGAGAGAAGTGAGCAATGGGTAGGGATGCATCTGGAAAGCACTAGAAGGGAGGGATCTAGGGCCAGCTTGGTCCTAGGAACTGTGCATTAGTCTGACTTGGTGATTCGCTTGTTCCAGAGGGAGGAAGTACAACCTGTGTTGCTCATTGCCAGCTCAGAATTTGCAACCATGTCACAGTATGTTGTCACAGCAAGGAAAGCAGGAATGCACCTCATAGATTCCTCTGCCCAGGAAGTCAGGCTGATCTGACTGAGGATCAGTTCCCATGGAATTGGTGAGAGAGGCTGTGGTGTAGAGGCCCTGGAATCCAAGGACTTCCAGACCGTCTGCAGTTTGCTTTGTTTATGCTCCTTGTGTGGAGTGGGGAGCTGGGGACTGCTGGGCCCCACTCTCTGCTGGGGCCACTCTACTTCCTCCTTTTCTTTCCAGCATGAGGCCAGGAAGCTAGGCAGTCTCCCAGCAGCCCCAGAGGAGACTCCATCCTGTCCCCTGTCCCCCTCCCTCCCCACCTTCCTGGGACAGGAATAAGAGGCCTGCCTCTGGCCAGCGGGAAGGGAGGGCTAGCAGGCAGAGATGCAACCCGAGGGAGCACGGCGCAAAGAGATCTAACCTTGGGCTCCTGTCAGGGAGAAAGCTAACCAGAAGGATTCTGGGGCTGATACCTCAAGGCCATGGAGCAGACAGGGAGCCTTTTGGACGTCAGAGTTCTTTACTAGAAGTCCAGAAACCAATCTATGTTGCTCAGGGTTGGGGTAGGCACTGCTGACCTTACCTTTTTGGCCACTGGCTGCAAGTCTAGGGGTAAGAGGAAGCCATCTGGGCCTAAGCATCATAATGGGCCCTAGTAATGGGCCCATGTTCCCAAGGTATCCACAGAGCTCCAGGGCCCTGCAGAGTGGGCTCCTTTTATGTATCTGCATCACCACAGGCCCCAGAGGAAGGAATTCCTTCCACTCTGTGGCTGAGAAAGTCAGTTCTGCTTCCCTCTCTGGGGAGGTGGGAGAGGGAAGCTTGGATGAGTGGTTTTACCCAGCACCTCTTTGGGTCTTGGTTTCCTTGGCTGTACGCCAAGACTGACAACTCATAGCTGTTATGAGCAGAGATTCTAAGACAGGTTCCTTAACCTGCTGCAGAACACACAGCACAGGAACAGGACCGCACACCAGATCCCTGTCCTGGAGCCCACTCTCCCAAGCATCATGCTCTGTCTGATTTTATGTAGTCCTCTCTTTACGGCAGGAAGGTCAGCTGCCTGGGACTGAAGATGGGCAGGCACCTGTCCTCTTTCCTGTCAAGGTAAGGGCCAGGAGAGAGGCTGAGCACACAGTCCTCCTGCTGGTTTATATTCAGTGCAATTCCCAGCTGTGAGCAACCCCCCTTCTCCTTCCTTGGGCTGAGGGTGGGAAGGACCCTTCTGAGGTGGAGGCTGCCAACGGAGGGCAGAAGCACATTGCTGCTGCTAGGCTGCCCACACATAAGCCCACAGCCTAAGGACCTTGCAGCATTTGGGGAGGAGCACTGTCCTCACAGGAGAGCAGGGAGACCTATAGTTCCCCAGGGCAGCCTTGCCTCTGTTCCTCCAGGCAGCAGTTTTGTGCTGACTCCTTCCAGTTGCTATGGAAACAATTAGGGCAGGAACAGGAGGGACCAGCATACTTGGGTAGGCAGGATCCAGGCAGCCAGCGCCAGGGCCCAGACCTGCAGTGTGAGGAGTGAGCAGAGAAAAGCCCTCCAGGACCATTTGCAGGGCCAAGATGCCAGGCCATGTGTGACAGTCTCACAAGCGTCCCTTAACGTCACTCTCCTGGACTAGAGCCCTGTGCCAGACTCACAGATGACCTCTCAGTCTTATCAGTCCTCTGAGTAGGGACCCTTACTAACCCCATGCACAGAGCTGAGACCTACACCCATACAACCTGGCCCAAGAGCCTGCTCTCAGCAACAGAACCAGCATTATCTGGCTCTGGGCCCTCACACCTTGGAAGCTATTTAATGTGCCTGATAGGCAGCTGCTGATTTGGTGAGTCAGTTGGTGTCACAAGTTGCTTAGATGCCTCAGGGGCACTCAGAGGAAAGCCCTGTGTGCTGCCTATGCGCCTGTAACATGGCTATCGTCACATGGTTGACATTTTTTTCTCCCAGGTGGGAGGCTGCTGTTAGAAGTCTACCTGGATAAGTACTAACCATTCCTACTTTGTTCTCATGGTTGGGCAACTACCCCCACCGGTTCTGCTCTGCTGACATGGTTCATCATTTGCAGGCCTGAAGCCAGGAGAGGCACAGTATCTAGGGCCATGAAAACCATGGCCAAATGTGCTGGCCTTTGTTACAGTCAAAGCCAGCTGCAGGCAGACAAGCTCTGATGGGCTGTTATGGCTGACAGTATAGGGAGATACTGAAGGCAGACCCTCGATGGTCTCACCGAGCTGAACAGTGCAAGGACAACCTCAGCGAATCTCAATGCTCTGTCCATTTTAAATTCCAATCAGTCTCACTATTCTGACTGGAGGTCACAAGGGTGTGTACAGGGAGGGAGCAGATCTTAGTGAGGGCAAAAGAGTAAGAAGAACATGCTTCATGGGGTGTGTGTCTACCTTCAGAGACAGGTCCAGGTGTACACTAGTGGACAAACAGCAAGGCCAAGTGGTGCGGATGGCAGAGCCCAGAGAGCAGGAAGGGTGGCCGTTTCTTGGTGGAAATGAGGTGGGAGGAGAGAGGCTAGGCTAAGCCTGAAGGGCAGGTGGAAGCTGTGGTGCAGTTTCAGCACTTGAGGCGTCAGGCAGGAGGACTGAGAGTCTGGAGCCCGCCTGGGCTACACTGGGAGATTCTGTCTCAAAAGTAAATAAGTAAACAGGTAACTAATTGATTAAAAAGTTAAACAAATCCAAACAAGGTTCTTGGGGTAGTGCTACCACCCACACTGGCCTCTGGGAGACCTGTCCGCTGTGTGGCCCCCACCTTTGGGCTCCGGGCCGCTGGTGTTAAAGTGCATCCTCTTCTGGCATTCCGTGCAGCTCATGAGGAACCGAGTCACAGCCTCTCTGGGGAGGAAGGCGTAGGTCTCCGCGATCTGCCAGAAAACAGTTTGCACGTCATGTGCCACCCTGGAGGCAACTTAGTCGCCAGTAACAACAAGGGGCCAACAGCCTCCATTCCTTTCTGTAAAATGAGCCACTTGCTTTTTTTTTTTTTTAACTTGAATAAAGAAGATTAAAATTTCAAAACAAAAAGCATTTAAGCATGATCTAGTTTTTAACCTCTAATAAATAATATTCTTCTCAGAACATTTTATTGCCTCCTCTAAAAGGTGAGCTTATAAACATTACTGTAGAATGCAACAACCTCTCCCCTTAGTCGTGTATAATCTAAGACCCACTTGTAAATTCACCAGCCTATGAACAGGGCCCACCGTCCTACCTCATGTCCTGGGCTAATTCACATGCCAAGGACCCTTCTAGGTAGAGCTATAGGATATGGGTTTAGAGGCATTCACTGTCCACACTATACCACTTGGGAATCTTCATGTTCCTTCTTGTAACTAAAGATTCAGTTGAGGACACACAGCTTTTGAGAGGTAGTATTGCAGGTCACACCACCCCATACTGAGGAAAGGGGAGCTGGCAGGAGGGAGAGAAGGTAGAGATGGAATGAGCGAATATGAAAAGGCTGGGTAGGAAGCAGGGCAGGGTGGGTGTGGCCCTATAACTCTAGTCAGGGGGTCAGCTTTGCTCTCGGTTTTGGGAAACTCTCTGGTTTGGCTGTCCACGGTGTCCAAAGCGTCGTCCCTCGGATGCTGCCTTTCCTCTGTCAGAGGCCTCTGAGCTGATTCCCTCATGTGCTGCCTAGAGTGCGGTTCTCCCGCTGCTCTCCACTAAGGGGCAGCATCACCCAAGCATTCCTGTCCTTACCACAGTCCAGCCAGAAAGTTGGCTGAGGGCTTTGGGGCCACTCTGGACTACAGTGGGCCCTGTGTGGCCAGCACACAGCCTGCTTCTATAAGGACTATGGACAAGGATTCATGGACACCCTGAAAGTCTCCTGGTAGAGTGGAGGAGGGAGGAGAGTTGGAGTAAGCAGAAGGCTAGGGTGAAGCAACCCTCTAAGGACCAGCTTTCAAGGCTTTCAGCCCAGCCACTGGCCTGCTTCCGCTGTGCAGAGTTCCACATCTACTTCTGCCAGCTGCAAACTAGAGTTAATTTTGGTGACACAGTTGTTACTTCTCAGCTGATTTGATGCTCTGCAGAGCAGGCAGTCTCTTTGATGAGTTATCTCCCTTCTAAATCCCCTGTCTGATTGCCTTGCTCTGGAGGTCAAGGACAAGGGCAAATCTCCGCATCTCTGGCTGGAGCCACAGGGGAGGAGGAGGAGGAAGAGGAGGAGGAGGAGAAAGAGGAGGAAGAAGAGGAGGAGGAGGAGGAGGACAAAGTTGGCCCACTTGGGGAATGAGGACGGGGTCAGGGGCTGCTTTCTGCTAGGCAAGTAGACATTGTCATCCCAGCCTCGGGCTCTGGAAGTCCCTTTGAGAGTGTGCTGAGTTGGGGATAGTGATCTTGGCTGTAGAAGGCTAAGAGGGAAAAGGGCTTGTTCCAGGCAGAGTCAGGGCTTGGGCTGACTCACCAAAAGATGGGGTCCTAGACTCCCATGAGAGATAGCTCCCAAAGTTAAGCCTCGGAAGAGCTGATTGGTTATGGGGAAGAGAGCTGTAGTCAGCTGGAAGGAGGGTGAGGTTCATGTCAGAGACAAATCAAGCTAGCTTACTCACCTGCACTGGAGACACTCAAAGGACTCAAGAACAGCCTCCTGGCCAGGCTGCTCTGCTGAGGGTGGCACACAGAGTGAGCTTGGCCCTCCTGGCTTCCTGGCCAACAGAGTGCACAGGAGTCAGTCTCCAGAGTGAAATGGTGACCACAAGATCTGGTCTTGGCTGGGCCCCCAGCAGTGGGCCATGGGCATACATCTTATGGCCCTAGGTTCCAAGATGGTGGGACAGAGTGTCAAAGGAAGCTTGGGGAGCTGGTTCTGCGCTGTCATAGGAACCCATATGGACAGCACACCGTCCTTCTTCCCTCATTTTCCACAGCATATTTTGGTTCACCCTGTGGTTGGTTAGGACTAGAAATGGAGGCTCTATTTCTGTTGGAGTGCCTGGATGCCACAGGCCCACGGGACCACACAAAATAGTGAGGCCAGAAAGGCGATCCTCACAAGATGCTCGTGTCAGGAGGATGGTGGCTCTCAGATTGTTTCAGACCCTGTACTAGAAATAGACACAAATACACAAAACAGAATGAGAGAGCTGCCTGTGTGCTTTGGGAGGAGATGCTCCAGGACCCTTGTCCTCAGTAGGTTTCCCTCAGCTGCCCTGAGCTGCCTGCTGTGTTGCTCTCAGAGTCTCCTGTGGACCCTGCAACCATGTATGGATTTCCCTTTTCTATTTTTCTTAGTGTTAAAAACTGAGAGATTTCACAGGCAAGGAGAACAGAAGCTATTTGCAGAGCCGCTGACTTGCAAGCCCGTTTTTCACTCTCCAACTCAGAAGCCAACAGAGCTTGATGAGGCAGGGAGGTGGGAGGCGGCTGGGGGATTTGCACCACTCTACAAGATCCTCCTTCTGCCCTGTGGTGGATTAGCACATGGTGGGTCTGGAGCAGCTGCTGACCACATCTGGCCCCAATTCCAAAGTGGCCTGGGTAGCCAGATCTGGGCTCTCGAAGCTGATCTGGCCTCTAGCATCTCTGGAGAAGAGGAGGTAAAAGGGCTCTTTCAACCCAGACTGGCTGAGATGGGGAAAGCCCTTGGCAAAAGGGCTCAGGGAACTTGAAGCAACCTGGAACTTTCCCAGGTTTAGCCTCAGTGAGACTCCTGGCATCCCTGGACCCTCAGGTCACCCTGCTGGAGAGGTTATGATAGAGCTCCCTGCTCAAAAGGGGGACTCCTTCTGTATGTATCATTTGGTGGAAATGCATTCTGCCCTGACTCTGAAAACTACAGGCTTTAAAAGCTCATAACTTTTCCTCTCTAACACATGGTGGAACAGTTGCTACAAAGATTCTCTCTCCTACTGAAGAACTGGCCTCCTTTAGTGCCCTCAACAAGGCTGCCCACTTCCCTACTGTCTCCCAACCTCAAAGGTACTTCAGGTTAAGAATTTGAAAGTCCTTGTACCTTATAGATGAAAAAGCCGACCCAGGATTCAGGTTTGGCAAAATACATGGTGACAGATCCAAAAACCACTCATCCGAGGGCTTGATGAAACCCTGCAGTGCCAGGCTGTGCCTCTCTACAGCCATCAGCACAGGGCTTGCTTGGGGGCTCTTTCTAAAGGCTGGGGGTTGGGGGCTCATGTCTACAGAGCAAGGGTGAGGAGCTAGGCTTGGGTGGAGGGAAATGGAAGCAGATGATAGAGGCAAAATATCCAGGTACAATCTCTGCCCCAGAAACAGGAAGAGGGTGACACAAGAAAGCTGGCAGATGGGAAGGAGAGGGAAGGGTGAGGAGGCACAGAGGGGAAGGGGAGTACAGGCTCCTTGGCCTCAAATTGCTGCAGGAGGGCCCTGGCCTGCTGGGCTCAGCCTTGGCCCTGTGCTGAAATTCCAGCTGTGTGCAGCCCAGTCACTGCATGCCAGTCATGTGCCAGCTCAGGCTGGGCAGGGAAATGGGGCACATGGCAGCATATGGACCAGAAGCCAGGAAGTGCAAAGGGCTAGCTGTTTGCTTGGCCCAGGCTGGCAGGGGCTGGCAAGACCAGCCCAACTCAGCCCCAGCCTCTGTATGTTCCAGAGGCCATAGACCCTTCTGAGGATTGCTGGTGGACAAGCCTTGGTGCTGGCACAGAGGAGCCAGGGAAGTCACCAGATCCAGACAGCCAAGCCCACGCACCTGACAGCAGCTAGTGGCTAGCTTGACAGTTTGCTTTAGGAAACCAGTGGCAAGGAAGGGTAGATACTGGTCAGCCACCTGGCTCTGAGCACCAGCTGACCGCAGGCAGCTGTGTTTCTCACCTTAAAATGGGGCTCATAGGTGTCCCTGCTTCATGCCTGTAGCCCTTACACAGGTCAGGGTGAAACTGGAACGGGCTGAGATTAAAGCCTGTACATGTGGAAGTCCAGCATCATGACAGGCTCAATGGTCGGCAAACACAATCTTCTCAGTCTATTCCTCACTTGGAAATACCCTTAAACTGTCTTCCTTTCTCACAGGCACATATACTGAATAGCAGGAAAGGTAGGAAGACAGGATGACCATCCAGGGGCCCTCAGCTTGCTTCCTCACTTCTCTGAGGCTCCCAGCAGAGGGCCCATCCTAAAGAGAGACTGCTCAGTGGTTAAGAGCACTGGCTGTTCTTCTAAAAGATAGGGGTTCGATTCCAGCACTTGCATGGCAACTTACAACTGTCTGTACCTCTGGTCCCAGGGTATCTAATGCTGTCTTCTGGCCTCCGTGGGTACTGTGTTCATATGGTGCACAGACGCACATGAAGAAGCAAAAGGCTAAATACCTATTCAGTACAAGGACTGTCATCTCAGGGCAAGAATATCTGGAATTTTGGATTTTGTGAAATGGGCCACGAGAGGAAATCACACCGACACAGGCCACCTCCACTAGAGCCCAAAGTTGTCTAGACACAGCATTCAGAACATTCACACCTGGTGTAGGTGGGCAAGCCTGGCCCCAGAAAGACAGAACTATAGGATTCTAAAGAGAAAGGCAACATGGAGGCCTGGAAGACATCAGCTGCCCGCTGCTCAGGTGCTGTGTATCCTTGGACAGGTGATTTGAGGTTCTGGGTCTGTTTCTTTAAGTAGAAAATGAACCATAGTACCTTAGTCATAGGATGCTCTTTAGGGCTCAACTGAGAATAAAATGTCTGGCTTATGGGCTCAGAGCTGGGCATAAGCCACAGGTACAGACTCAGGTGTAAGGCCAATAGGAGAGGGAAGCCTTTGCCTAGTGGTTGGGGCCTCTGCTTTGTCCACAGCCCTGTTTTCTACCTCGCAAATATGTATTTTTCTAGATAGCCATTCCATTCCTTTATGCCCTCCTAAAGGTGGCCAGCATACCACTCCCACCATCCCCAGCTTAGCACTAAGTGTCCGGGGCTAGCAGTATCTTTGCTGAGCCTTCCCAGGGTTCTTGCTCTATTGGAGCTGGTCTTGGCACCATTTCTCCTTTTGTGTTTATCTCATTGCCTTCAGCCTCTTCACCCCAAATCCAATTGTGACCTCCTGAAGGTAGGAAGCAGGTCATCAGACCCAGATCCTCTGGGGGAACTCACAGGGTTGGCTCTCAGTGCTGTGGGAACCTGGCTAGGCAGGCATCTAGGGCAGGCTGGCAAGCAGTCCATGCCATGCTGTGGAAGCACTGGCCCCTCCAATTCTTATTATCTGTGCTCCCCCAGCAGGCTATAAGGGGCTGGAACTGGGAAGAGGAGGGCTTCCTCCCTGCTCTGCCTCTCTCCTTCTCTCCCTCTCCCTCCCTCCCTTCAACCTGCTTCTCCTTTGTGCTCTGACCGCAGAGCCCGCCCCTCACCCTGAGAGCCATCTCTGGCTGCCATGCCCTTGCCCCATGCCCCCCTGGATCCCCAAAGGCCGCTTCATCACGCCTCAGCTCCCAGCCCCGCCTCCCGCCCAACATGTGCGGAGCCCATGGCCTCCTGCCAAGGCCTGGGGCTGCCAGCAGAGGCAGAGACAGCAATCTCACCGCTCGGTAGGTTTTCTTCTGCCCAGCGTGCTTGGGGGCTTTGCCTGGCTCTGCGGAGCTCTCCACGTGCATCGAGTAGATGATGTCAAAGAAATCTTCCACCACAGCAACCCGTTTCAGAGAGATGCCCTCAGGCTCCGACAGGCCATCTGCCCCCTGCAAGCGACAGGGTGGACAAGCCGTGTTAGTGTCAGGGCTGATGGAGGGTGAGAGCTGGGCCCTGAGGCCAGGCCACAGGTCAGGGGAGGTGAACAGGGTCTTTGCTGCTCTCTGGCCCAGCATGGCATTCAACTGTTCCAGCTAGGGGCTGGGGAGAAAAGGAACCCACTGGATCTGGGGAGAGGGTGTCTGAGGGGGCTACTGAATCTACCAGCAACAATGGGCATTGAAACTCGACAACACAAGTACAAATTAGGAAACCAAGAGGCTCCATGTTCACAATTCAGACAGATTGTGCCAGACTCCCAAAGAGCTCTCGAATCACACGCTGTGCCAAGACCATCCTAGAGTCTCTGGGGAGGGGGAGTGCTAAATAGATGCGGCCCCATCAGGAGCCTGCCAATTAGCAGTAACCTTTCACTGTGGTCCTGGGTTGGAGTCCCAGGGGACCAGCTCCCATCACCTGGGTGGCTCCTGCCTTCACCCAGGCCTTTCGAAAAAGCTTTTCATCACTCCTCTCCCTCCCCACTCCAGCAGCTGAATGCCAGCCACAGCACCCAGGCTCTTTGTGTGGGGAGATGCACAGAAAAACAGGCTGGAGGCCATGTGGATGTGGCAGGGCTGGGAGCCCGGTGGCCATGGACCCCATGCCTCTTACCAGACTGTCAGATGGCCCAACAAGGTATGCCAAAATGGAGGCTGAGTTATTTGCAGCAAAGAGCTGTGGAAGGCACCTGCGTACCTTCCCCATCCCTGGTGAGGACAGAGGCCAAAGGGAGCCTTCAGGGCACAAGCTCTAGTGCTCCATGAAGGTGTTTTCTGGTCCACAGAGTATGAGGTTCACAGAGATCTGGGAACACCAGCTCTCAGCCATCATCTCCCTATAGGAAGATTGGAAAGGTCCTAGGGGGCTTCAGAGACCAAGAACAAACAGTGTAGAAGGAGGTTGGACAACACACCCAAAGACACAACTCCAAGATAATCCTTCCCCAGAAGATGCAGGCTCAAGGACAGCAGCCCTGTGGAGGTGTGAAACTCATCTGCTGGCTCACACCAAGAAAAACGCCTGGCACATGGTAGGTGACTGAAAAATGACTGCTGCTGAGCAGGTAGCTGGGGCAGGGGCAGAACAACTTGATTTGAACACACTCTGCTCCACCATGCCGGTGACTTGTGCCCCGAGTCATTATCCTGTTCCTTTGAGCCTCATGCCCTTCATCTGTGAAGGGGGATGAAGCACTCCACTGCCCAGAGACTTCTCGGAGGACAAAATGAGATACAGCTGCAGCACTCTGTACCAAGCCACCATGTCGGTGCTGGGAACCGAACCCAGGTCCCAGCAGCCAGTGCCCTCAACCAATGAAACACCTCTCCAGCCTCCTCTAGTACACTTTTAACTAGAGGTTTACAATGGCAAACAAACAAACAAAAACAAAACAATGAACTTCAAGAATAAATAGAACTGAGTTTTTAGTTCTCAGGCTGGGTGTGGCTATGCAGGCGTGCAGTTTCATTAAAATGTCTATTAATCAGACTTGCGACCTGTTTCATCTTCTATACCTCTGTTAAACTTTATTACTTGTTTTGTCATTTTGAGTAGAGCATTTGCTGGCCTGGAACTCACTATATAGACAAGGCTGGCTCACAAAGACTCATTTGCCTCTTTCTCCTGAGTGCTGGCATTAAAAGTGTAAGCCACCATGTCTAATTCTAAACCGTAATTTTGAAAAGATATTAATTTCCAGGCTGTGTGAATGGCTCCAGGGGTAAAAACCCTTGCTACACAGCACAGAAAGCACAGAAATCCACTTTAAAAGCTGGGGACAGTCTTTCAGGTGCCTGAGGCCCAGTGCTGTTGGTTTGGAAGAGACTGGAGGATTGTTGCGGCTTGCTGGCTGCAGGTTCAGTGAAGAGACTAGCTCGAGGGACAGAGTGGAGAGTGACAGAGTAGGCCACCTGATGTTCTTCACTAGCCTCCATGTGAGCACATGGGCATATGCAATGTACATGCATGTGCATACACACAACACACATATGCAAAACTTAAAAAATAAAATAGATGCTTGTCATACAAAATGTTAATTTGGGGCTAGCGTGATGCCTCAGTGGGTAAAGACCATGAGATGACTTCGTGGGTAAAGACACCTGCCACCATGCCTGATGACCTGATTTGATCCCTGGGACTCACATGCTGGAAGAAAATAACTGACTCCTGCAAATGCCCTCTGACCTCCGAGTGCATGAATGCCGTGCATGATATGCTAAGGCTGCCCTCAAACTGGGAATAAGTTTTTCTCTGAGTTCAAAATGCAACTAATGGGGCTGGGCATGGTGGCACACCTGTAATCCCAGCACTCAGGAGGCAGAGGCAGGTGGATCTCTGTGAGTGCGAGGCCAGCCTGGTCTACAAAGCAAGTCCAGGACAGCCAAGGCTACACAGAGAAACCCTGTCTTGAAAAACCAGAAACAAACAAACAAAAAACAAATAATGGTTGTCAGGTGGTATACACCATTAATCCCAGCACTTAAGAGGCAGAGGCAGGGGGAACTCTGTGAATTTGAGGCCAGCTGGGTCTATGGGTGAGTTCTGTGCCAGCCAGAGCTACAATGTAAGACCCTGTCTCAAAACACACAACACACACACACAAAATGAATAGACTCAGATAGAAGAGCAGAATCTATTATCTAGTGCCTGTCCTGTCCCGGGCCTCCCACCTCTATTCTTAGACACACTTGGGTAAGCAGTGGCTTTGCACCTGGTCTAATGTGACCATCAAATTATCCCAGGGAAACCTGAAGGGAGCACTTATCAGTAACTCCCTCTTTAAAAATGGATTGCTCAGCCAGGTGTGGTGGCACACAGCTGTAATCCCAGCACTTGGGAGGCTGAAGAAGGAGTTTAAGGCCAAGTCTTGCCAAGGCTACATAGTGAGTTCCAGACTGGAGGCCATACAGGAAGACCTTGTCAAAAACAAAACAAAAACAAACTGGTTGCTGCTTTTCAACCTTGGGTCCCGTAATCTACCTGCCTCTGGTAAGGGAGGGCCTGTAACAAACAGAACTCAAATCACACAAGGTTTGCAGAGGCGCACATTGACAGTCCTCTAGTGAGATGTGGCCAGCTGGACATTGTGTGTGTGTGTGTGTGTGTGTGTGACACTCGAATGGAAGAACACCGGAATGTATGTCTAGTCTTCAAACAGAACCCCAGGAAGATGGCAACAAAGAGTGACATGCCCTGAATCCATGAAGGTAATGACCTTTATGCTAAATGCTGCAGGAGGGGCATTCCTTCCCTAGCCGGGAATGCAGGCAGGAATACGAGGAGAGAGCTGCTAATTAAGAGAACACAAAGTGCCTTCCTGATAGCCTTGGGAACCTTGTCCATGCTCCACCCCCACCCCGTACTGAGAATTTGAGCCTAGGGCCTTGCGAGTGGTCTGCTACTGAGCAGTCTCTGCAGTCCCCCCACAGCCTTGACATGCTCCTGCCAACCCACCTCTGTCTAGTACCCAAGTCAGGATCATTTAATCCATTGCTCTAAACAAGCTGTGCACTGGCCTGACCAAAGAAGTTCATTTTACTTATAGGATCCAAGGGGACCTGGACTCTCCTGACTCTCCCAGTTTCCAGAAATGCCAGGTGGCGATAACGGAAACAAACTACAGCATTTCCTGGGAAAAGGCATGAAAAATACCCGGTCACTAGGGCTTTTCTTCTGTAGGGAAGAACATAGCCATGGTAACATACTCCATCTATTAGAACCACCAAACTCCTGAACAACCAACCAGACCCAAGCTAACCTAACTGGACATGGCCTTCATTTTAAACACTGGATAACTACCAACCTTCTTAGACATTGCCAACCCCCTTAAAGCCAGCCCATTTGAGTTCTGATCCAAAAGCTGGACTGCAAGCAACTGAAGCAATCATGAAATGTCCACTTTACACATAACTGACATTTCAAAATATTTAGAACTCTGGTCCTGCGAGTGTGGGTCCTACACAAGCAGCAATGGGCTTTGGGGATGGGGATATGGCTCAGTAGGTAGAGTGCTGGGTTAAATCCCTGGCACCACATGGACTGTTCATATTGACTTATACCTGTGATGTCAGCACTTATAGAGCGCAGGCAGAAGCATCAGAACTTCAAGGCTATTTCTTGACTATATAGGGAGTTCAAGGCCAGCCTAAGCTACAGAAGACTCTGCCTCAAAAAACAAACAAAAAGTACATATTTTCATGGTGTACTTCAGCCTACCAAATCCATGCTCTAAGGTTTTAAAATACCTTCCATCCCCAAATGACTGTACTGCAAAAGAGTTTAGAAATGCTGATTAGGATGTCTCTATGATTGAGACATGGAGGTAAGCAGTAGTGAAACTGACATTGGCTTACTAAATGCAGCTGTGTTCTGTGCTTCTGGGCCTTCTAATGTTAATATTTTCATGTCTAGAGAAGGCTCCCTTTTCTAATGGGGTAGAGAAGAGGACTCTTGTTAGGCAATATTGCTATGAATTCAAGAAAACTGGCAAAGTTATTTCAGGGGGTCTTGGCAGGTGTTTTCTGGCTTCCTCAGTTTCCTCAAGTGATCAGCTCACTCACTCACTGAAAGGAGATTGTGATGTCCAGGGCTGCAGACCAATGAGAGGAACCAGTGCAGCTTAGGCTCCTGCCAGGTGGCGTCCACAGCAATCCTTGGGAGCACCTCTTAGGTAAACCCCTCTGATGGAATTTTGTCCATCTCCCACAGAAGCCAACTAAATTGACCCCGGCCTTGATAGCAAGCATAGTACAATTGCTAATGGATGGATGGCAGGCGGTTCTGTCACCACCTCTACAACTGTGAAGTTGCCGGCTGGTAATGAGTTAAAAGCTTATCAAGGTAGAAAGACTGTTTCAAGCCCAGGGGGCACCTTTTAGTATGGCATCACCACTGTACTAGGGGACAATGCTATCCAGACACAAGCAGGCCATGGTTGAGAAGATGCCGCTAA